TTAAAATCATTTTTCTCCGAAGATGGCTACCTTGTACATTGCAATAGTGTGAAGGAACTTATGCTAACCCTTGGACTTCCAAACTATGATCCGAATGAGTGGAGACTGTTCATTGATGCTTCCAAGCGAAGTTTAAAGGGTTTTCTCCTTCATAATGAAAACGTTATTGGTCCAGTGCCTTTTACATATACGGTGATCCTCAAAGAATCATACCCAAATTAGCAACTGATGTTATTGCGAGTGAACTACAATGAGCACAACTGGCAACTATGTAGTGATTTTAAAGTTCTTACTATGCTGCTGAATCAACAATATGTTTTTACCATTTTCCCATGCTTTCTTAGCCTGTGGGCTAGCAGGGCACGAGTTGATCACTCGACTAAGAAAAACTGGCCACCTCGAGAAAGTTTTGGCGGTTGGTTCTACAGAATGTGTGTGTACTAAAAGTCTTGTGGAGCCTAAAGTTTTGCTGCCACCTGTCTCCACATTAAACTTGGCTTGGCAACAAATCCGTAAAAGCTTAAATAAGGGAAAAACACTGTTTCAAGTACATATTATAGTTAGTACATATAAGATTGTTCGTATAAAGTATACGTGATAGAAGTAAATCGGATTTGAAAATTCGATTCAGCACATCGAGATATTATATTTAAAATTTACATTTTTTACTTAGGGCACAAACAAAAAGTTTAAATTCGTAGACTAGTGATATTATTGTCACTATTAATAATAATGTTGCTTATATTACTACCGTACCGTTACTATTAGAGGACGGGGCAGGGCGGGAGGGATCACCGACAACAAAAAAACAACATATCTTCGGAACCATTGGGGATATCAAGGTAAAACAAAACCTAAGTTGTTTTCAGAGTATCTACAGTGTAGTTTCAATTTTATGGGGATAAATTCAGAAGGTTTTGAGTTAAATGGGTACATGCCGAAAAATTACAGTTGATTTGGCGTGAGATTCGTTTTAGTTATCGAATTAGCAAGTTAAAAAAGTATTTCAAATTTGAAATTTCGAAAATCACAGACACTTCGAATTTGTTTACCTGCATGGATGACGTTTGCATTTGCAATTTTCAAAACTTCAGAGATTTTCATTTACCTTATTGTAACAACTACTTTTACAGAACAGATTTCATTAAAGAAAAATCTCTATATTATAGTTTTGCAATGTTAATTTTTGATTTGCAATGTTCGAAAATAAAAAGTTTGCCGAAACAAAGAGTCCTTTGCTCTATCAGAGGAAAAAATTAAAGAAAACATTTGGAACCGTTTTCGAGAACAAACTTTAAAAAAATCAAGCAAAAATTGTTCAAAACCTCACGTTTTTCAATAAATGTACATGACGTTATTTAAATATCTATTTTTCTAGAACAAATTTTAATAAGGAAAAATATCTATGTCAATATTATACTTTTACAATGTTCATTTTTGGCAACTTTCGAATATTCACAATTCGCCAAAAATTGGACATGCTCATTTTTTAAGAGTCTAATGCTCTATCCAATGGAGGGAAATTAAAGAAAAATGTTTGAAAAAATAATTCTCTAAATCCTGGCCAATATTTCATGCAATATTACGTGGAAGCCACTCATATGTTTGGAAAATCGTACACGACCTTATTTCAAGATATATCTTTGAAGAACAGATTACATTAAGAACAATATGTATTTTCAATATTGTAATTGTAGTTCAATATTGTAACATTTTTTGAACTTTTGCAATTTTCGGAAATTTAGATGTCATCGAAAATGGGTTCTATGCCAATTTTTTAAGCGCCCTTTGCGATATCCCAGGGAAAGTGTAATAAAAAAATTTGAAACAATTTTTGGGAAAAGTTGAGGCTTTATGTGGAACTAAAATATCTGTTTTTAAACTTTAATTTGTCCATATCTGTCTTGATTGGAGAATATCAGAACGGTTTCGTGTTGGCCACAGATAGATGGACAGACACAGACGTTTTGCCGTCAATCAATTTTTTTGTACCATACTAAAAGTAGACTCTGACTGACTCTGACAGAAACAGACACAGGACCAAGTTGTTCTGTCGAAAAATCGAAGATTATTTCTGCAGCATTACAATATTTTCTCTTTTCTATCTACATTGTAATTGTAAAGTGAGTTTTTTAAATGTATCTATTTATTTATTTTAAAATCAGCACTGAGGAGCTTCACAAGAGAAAGTCCAAACAATTTACAATGGGAAATCAGGGTGAAAAAAATCGCTATGCTCAAAATAATTTTCATATTTATACTATTATTTTATTATTGTTAATATAAATATTAATATTATAATTATAAATAAATGCATCCACATTTTTATAAAAAATATATATTTATTACAGTTTTCACTAAAATAACAAATTTAAGGCTTCAGTGCCATTTGTTTGTAATAATGTGCATATGTAGCCTTTGAGAAATGTTTGATTTGTAAGGACATTGCATTTGACAATTCCCACATTACAATAATCATTTGTTTTGTTAAGGGGAAAACTAATAAAAAATCAGTACCAGCCATATATGGCCTTCATGAAAAGAAGTGCAAAAAATGTTATTGGAAATCTGTCTTCTCTTCAATAATTTCAAATAAAAAATCAGCAACATCAGCCATAGAATTAATTTTCAATTTTACAATTTAGTTATACTTGTCTCATAGGTCTGAGAACATTAAGAAGAGATTTAGTGCTTCTCATCTTATCCAAAACAATAGCAAAGGCACATTCTTAAAGGGATGCTTGACACAAAAGGTGTTGCAAAGAAGAATAAATGTATGCTGCTGCAATAATTGTACATTTTTGAGATATCATCTCATGATTCTATTGTTATAAGTCAAATATAAATATTTGAAGTTCTAATTGGTTCATTGACTTAATAATTAAATGAAGAAGAAAATAAAAATCATATAGTATGTTTCTTAAGAGAATTAGTAGAAAGTGATATTTCCATTTACAATAGAACAAAGCTTTTTTGTGTTGAGTATTTTTTTGTTGAGTACTTTCAACTCAGTAGAGTGTTTGTTTAATTTCCTTCCACTTTATTTTGGAAAAAATAAATTTTGTTTAGGAAAAGTAAAAGAACGTTAAGGAATTAGTGTAATTGTCATAATTTACATGTATTATGGAATTGAGAAATCTTATGGCATTGAAATTTCATTAATAAATAGTAAACTTTTAAATTCTATTTGTTTATATGCTACTAAAAAATCATTGATTTTAGTAAATAAGTAAATGATAAACAAGTTACCAGAAAAACATTGTAATGAGACAATCAAGAATAGTATGTTTTGGGGGAGTGATATAGTTAAAAGTCAAATTTGAAGTGAATAATTATACTTATGATCTCCATTTCTGTCTAACGTGCTTAATATGTGATTTTGTGCTCATTTTTTGGTTAATGAACTGCTTTCAAGATAAGCAATACATTGCAGTCATGAAAAAAGTCACTAATTCCACCCTCCCTGCCTATTCACATAGTCCCCTTGAATCCACTCATGATAAAAAGAAATAACCTTAAAACAATCTTCTTTAGTTTCTGAAATATCAAGTCCTCCAATTCATATCATTTATATTATTATTCATTGTGCTCACAAATATATATTTATATTTTGTACTTAACTTTTAAGCAAGAACAAAAAAATTTAATATGTTAAGTGATTTGAGTGCATTATTTTATTGAATTATTTATTCTGAAAGAAAATATAAAGGATTAAATATATATATATATATATATATATATATATATATATATATTATAATATATATATATATATTATATATTAATTCAATATAATTTAAAATATTTTTTTTTTTTCAAATTTTCATAATTTTTAATAAAAATATATATTAGGGAATATTTATTATTAATGAAACATTGCTCACAATTTTTTCTTTAAATTGAGTAGTAGTTTTTGTCTTCATTTACCTTATTTTTTTAACCATGAATGACTAGAATAGCCGATTGCGTTTAAAGATTAAGATGATTTCATAGGCAAGAAAATATTAAAATAATACCTGTAGTATCACCAAAGCATTTCCAAAATACATGATATAATGGGTTCAGTTTCCTTTTATGATTGTTTCCAATGGATATGTTGTATTCAAAATTATAGTAATAAAATGACCTTATCAAATGTGATGAAACTCCTTAATCAAAAAAGTTTGAAACTTAATGAATTTAGTTAAATGAGTACAATGAGAGCAAGCACAACAACTGCACAAAATCCAGACCGTTTCTTCTCTTTCACTACAGCAATATTTGTATCAGAAACAGAAATCTTACAACCTTATGAACTTTGAGTATTAATTCTGCCCATGTAAAATTGTCTTAATCAACTTTAACAATCTACTTTCTGCTCAAAGGTTTGTGACTGTTTGAGAAAATATAATGATGGTTTTTCATCTTGGATTATGTATCATTTGCATTCCATATAGCATAGGATTTTTTTGGTAATGAATTTAAAGACAATTGCAAGTAAGATTATAGACATTCAAACACTTTTAATGTTTTTGAAATATTTAAATTATTTGAGTATAACATCTTTATATTCAATGTCTCTAAAACAAACAAAGCTTTGAAAACTTTGTGGCTGGTGAATTTGCCTGAGAAGCTCCTATCAGACCACCTTTAATTTCAGCTTTACCTTTAATTTTTAACTTAATTCATGGATTTTGTGTCAACAATTTCTTATAAATATTTGAGATCATTAAAATATAGAAAATAAGTTTTGGCATCTTAAAATAATCAAAATAGGTTTGGTTCCTTATACTACACATAAAATTAAGTGGTTGAAGTTCATGGTCACATGGTAATGTCAGACCTGTAACCTAAGCAACTGTGAACCGGAAGCCTTTGTTGAATGTGGTAATGCCATCCTCATCCACACCCAATGTCGAACAATTTTTATTCGGACCTTACATCACATTTATTTCTGAAACTAATTAGGTTTTTTTCAAGGCCCTGAGTAGTATGTGCTTGTTAAATATGTAAGCTTCTTATGGTTTATCTCCTCCTATGCTTTCTTCAATTTCTATTTTGGTTTTTCCCTTTGTTTCAGGCAGACATTTAGCAATAAATATGGCGCCTAGCACACAAAAGAAGCATAAAATGCCATAGGTGACGTCTTGCCCAGCGTGCCTCAGCATGAGTGGAAACTGCTTAGTGAGAAGTAAAGCTACTGCCCAATTAAAAGACGCTGCGATCGCGCTGCCCCAGCCCTTTGCGTGCACGGGAAGTAACTCTGCCATAAGAAGCCACGGAAGGGGACCGAAGCCCAGTGCAAATACCACGACATACAAAATTAAAGCAACTAATGGGATCCAAAGGACAATGGAAAGGTTAACTACATCAGATCCCTTACTGAATACAGCATACAAGGAAAGGCACAGGAGGCAAAAGGCCATTATTACAGTCGACAGCAGAAGGAGAAATCGACGGCCCAAATGGTCAACTGTGATGGAAGAACACAACACTGCAATGACTTGAACAACACCCACAATTATTGTAGATGCTTCACCTGACAGATTACTGCCAGCTTCATTGAAAATCTGGACTGTGTAAAATATAACAGCATTTATCCCACTAAGCTGTTGAAATAACATTAGACCTAAAACAATTGCAACAGCTCTTGATGTGGTCGACCTTATTGGATTTGTGGAAAAGAACATCGAAAGAGATTGTCTGATGCTGATAGAGGGAGATTCTTTCATTGATGCAAGCATACTGTCCATTTCAAGTTGTGCATCGTAATCATTGCCTCCACGGAGCCATTCCAAGGCTTTTCTAGCTTGTTCGTGACGACTTTTATTTGCTAGGAAGACCGGAGACTCGGGCATCCAGCAGAACGTTAGTAGAAACACGACAGGTATGACACAGCCACTGAGTGTGTACCAGAAGTATGGGACATAAGCTCCAAGAACATATATCCACAGGATGCCCACACATATCATAAAGTCCAAATAGGCGCCCAGGGCTCCTCGTATTGCCACCTCTGCTATCTCTTCACAGTAGAGGGGTGTTAATACCGTGGTGGCTCCTGTTCCAAGGCCGGTAAGGAAGCGGCCGAAATACAGCATCCACACCTGAAACATTGGAACGAAAAATAATGGAGTCAACACAAAAAGAGATGGCATAAGCTTTCCAACCATTCGAACTTCTCTCGTCTAGTGCAAATTAAAACTAGAATGAGGAAAATAATTGCATATAACCTCGTGAACTCTCGCAGGCGGAGACCCAACTACTGCCATCACGTTTCTTCACTTCTGTACAAAGGGGAAAATACGGTTAGTGATAATGCATCCCCAGACAGTCCTACTACTCCCTTTACGGGCGGCCCCGTCCCAACCAGACCTTGTTTTACCTGATATGTTCGCTACGATCGTAATTGGTGTTACTATCGTTGCCCCGGGCAACAGTGTGCATTACAAGCAAATTCAGGTTGCATGCTCCCGGCAAATTTCCCTTACGAGAAATTAAATTTTATCATCTCATAGTAATAGCTGACCATTAAAGTGCTAATCTAAAATTCTAAGTTAAGACATGATCTACCTATGTCTAAAAAATTATTGAAATTGATTGAGCCATCTAGAAGTTAGCCATCAAACATAGATATTTTGTTAAAGAGAGATAAAACATGTAGCTGAGATTATGGCTAAAAGAATACTCTAGCTTTGAGAAAATATTCAATTGAAATCGATATAGCTGTTTCTGATATTATTAATAAAAATAGATGGATTGTTTTAATTCAATGTAAATAACCATTTGATATTATAAAAAGACAGCTATTTTTAAATCATCACTTCAATTTTATCTATATAGACTAGTGAATCAATACCGTGTGATGTGTTTCGTTTTACATTGTATGCTACTTCCAGGACCGAGTATAAGTCATCGGGAAGCACTCATATTCAAGCCACCTTCTGCCCTGTCAGATCTCTCAATGCTGAGACGCAACTGGCCAGAAACGCAACACAATTCTGTCTGTTCGAGCATGACTTATCAGCAATATTCCCAAACCTTTTTCATTTCCTAGAGGTGAATTCCTAGATCTGAATTCAGTGTCATGTATAGAAATTTCTTGAACACATTTCGATGGTTCCTGAACAATTACATCGACAGAATAATTTAATGAAGCAAACTATGCAGCGTTTCCAAGCATTTCCATAAATAGGTAATAATGTGTCCCAAGAAAACTGATCTTGATAGGAAAAAATTAATTTCATATTAGAATTCAGTGTTCAAGTCTTAGCTTAGAACATCATTCACATTATTTATTACAAAAATACTGTCGGCCAGTGTAATTTTTGTCATATGGATATCACTTTTATTTAACGCTGTCTCTGTGAAAAAAATCAAAGTGCTTTTCTCTAACTAACCTGTTGCCAACATATAATCTATACAATACATATCCGTAAGAAATATAATAACTAATTTTATTATGAACCTTAAAGTGAAAAAGTAACTCAGTTATATATCGTTAGAATATTGACGACGCACATTGGAAATATTCAACTCTACATGTAAACGAAATATAATATTAATGTATTTATTTTTTTCTGAAAAGTATTAATATCTGCATTCTCTGCCCTTTGAATTTTTAAAATATGTAATTCAAACATTCAAATGTTTAAAGGGTACGGATATCCCCCTGCGATCTTCCAGAAACTAAAAACCGCTTTACTTATTTCAATTGGTTTCGTTATTTTAACGCATTTTCGAATCACTAATATTCCGAAGTTATAAATACACACTTAAAACTCTTTTGATTCAAATAATACATTATTTTAAGAAAGGTGAGTGTACTCGTTTTTTAAGTTTCGTTGTATTGCGTCTACATCTGTAGTTCTTTATTACAGGTGTGAGTGTGTATAGTTTACTGAAATTATGATGTACACTTGTTTTGACAGCAATTATATCAAAATAATATTTAAGAAGACCCGTTAACGGATGGTTTCTTTACATGTCATATTAATAATGAGTTTTACAAATATTCTGGGCAGAACAAATTAAAAATGAATGCATGCAATACATTTATGAACGGTAAATATACTTTAACATTGTTGGTGGCATGACACATTAATTTAGAAACTCGTTGCTGTTTCAGCGGTTTTGAATCACGAATTCATTATTAAATCCATCAAGCGCATTATTAGTAATATTGTATTCATAAATCTATTTGATGGTTTCTACAAAATACCTTGAAATTCCATTTTTCCGCACGCCTAAACAGAGAAAAAAAATTCAGAAACTATTGATCATGCTACGGCCGGAATAAATATTTTTCATGTCAGATTGTATCTACAATATACTGCGATTAAAACAGTCATGATCTGAAAAGAGATAGGGCAATATCATCCCATCGTGAGCTTCAATACAAACAAATTAAGTAGTAACGGCGCCGGCGTTTGGATGTCAGTGTCCTCTTCTCCTGCCAGTTCGTGGCCTTGAAGGGACACTGTTTGAATCGTGGAATAATGAGGTGCCCCCAAACTCCCCTCCAAACAGCGTCTCGCGTCTCACCTGCTGGCCGGCGCTGACGATGAACACCCACCCCAGAGCGTAGGGCGCCGCGAGGGTGAGCAGGGCGCGCTTGCGGCCGATGGCGTCCGCGAGGAGGCCGCTAGGCAGCGCCCCGGCCACGGCGCCCAGCGGCACCAGCGCGCTCGCCCACGAGCCCTGCTCCTCGCTCAGGCGGAGCGGCGGCGTGGGCGACGCCGCCCACGCGGCCGACGCGTTGCCCTCGCGCTGCAGCACGGGCAGCGCCGGCGACGTCCAGCCCATCGCCACGCCCGCGCACATCGCCGCCAGGTTCGCTGCGGCACGATCACACCCGGGTTTAGACAGACAGATGACGCTCGTACAAGCAACGGTGGTGAAGTATAACCCATCGCCAGGTTGAAACCCCACCGCCCGCTGCGGCACGACCACAACCGACTTAAGACAGACACATAGAAGGCCAGATATGGGACGGTGACGTAGCGCCCATCGCCACGCCCAAGCACACAACCGCCAGGTTGGCTGCAGTATGTCCACACCCGAGTTTAGACAGACACGCAGAAACGACGGCACAGCGGTGACGACGTACTGCCCATCGCCACGCCTATGTACACCTTCGCCAGTTTAGCTGCGTCAGGATCACACGAGGGGTTAGTCAGGTACACAGAAACGACGGCATGGCGGTGACGTACTCCACATTGCCACGCCCGCGCACACCGCCGACAGGTTGGTTGCGGCACGACCACACCCGTGCATAGATAGATTCACGGACACTATGGCTCGGCGGTGACGTACAGGCCATCGCCACGCTCGCGCACACCTCCGCCATGTTAGATAAGGCACGACCCCACCAGATTTTATACAGATAGAAACACAGAGACGACGACACGGCGGTGACGTACATCGCCCTTCTGTGATGCTATAAACGTAAAAAAAACTTTGTATAGTGCTTTTTTCTAAAGGAAACTCATTTTCTTCCAAAACGTAATTTCTTATTTGTAACTATAAATGGTTTAGTTAAATATTATTTGTAATAAACAGAAACATTTTCATACATATTGTCCTGAAAATATATTAATAATACTTTTTTTGGTCAAACATCTGTTCGTTGTGATATTGACCATGTGCAGTTCATTACTTTTTGATAATTTTTTAATTTTGTTAAAAGAAAAATAAGCATGAAAGAAAGGATATCTTTTCTTGAAATAGGAGTATTCGTACGCTATCTTAAGTTACAAGTTTTTTGTTTCGATTGTTCTTAAAGGAATATGGACTGTCATAATTAACGAAACGAGTAGGTTAAGACAATACCTTCTTCTATTACTGCTAGTAGTAGTAATAGAGGATATTGGTTAAGAGAGGTATAATGGCACGAGTTGTATGTTCAAGAAAATGAGCGAGATAGCTAATTTTTACTTATTTTCCACGAGTGCAATTATACCCCTTTATCCTCATGTTACATTCAACATTTTTCGATTCATTTTAAGAGTAATTGCATGCAATGGCGTCGTATTGCTTGTGGGATATACCTATTTTAGTGTATTGCATTCTTATGGTCACCATAGTGGCTTAGATGATAAAGAAATGTCTGCAAAGGAAGATATATTAAACATACTCCGAATGAAATATTAGAAGTATCTGTCAAAGCCATGAAATATTTACTTCCCACGAAAAGTTAAGACACACATGAAAGAGAATTCAACATATATAAATACTATAAAGTAATGAAAATGAGTCACTTCTAACTTGGCGTAATTTTTGGAATGGGTAAACATAACTGACATTCACATTTCTAGTATACCAAGACCAAACGTTTTACATGTAAAACAGTAAATTTATTCAAGTTAAATATTTTATATTGTTCCATTACTCAGGTGGTCACAAACCAACGTTTACTTTTCAAAGTTTATAGGTAGTTGATATACATAATTTGTGATGCACAACATTTTTGTTCATGTTTCATGGCCGACTGGAAATACCTTGGTCACGTTTGTGTTATAGTGACTTAATTAAACGATTTAGATCATTTTCTTAATTATGATTGGTAGTTGTGTAGTTTTAACTCAAGGAAGGATCCAGAGACGAATTTTGGAAATGGGAACTTCAAAATGTGTTTGTCGAACATGTCGTATTACAGATTTTGTAAAATGTCGCAGGCTACACTCAGCTCATGCTGAGATACTATTTTATTCGTTTTAACGATAATCCGAAAATATTTAAGTCTCGTGACAACTTAAAATTAATAGTTACTGAAAATTTTCAGGGAGAAGGGAATTCCCCTAATTTCCCTCCCCGTGGATCCGCGCCTATTTAGTTGCAGCAAGGTGTTTTAATTGCACTCATGCAACAAAAGTAGAGTCAATAAACGATTTTTTCATGGAAATAATGAGTATAATTAATTCACTAAATGAAAAGAGTCCTTAATGGAAGCTGACCGTTGGGATCCTTTTTGTTTGTGTTAAATTAACATAACAGTACAATATTACGAAAATAAAATTACTTCCTATTGACACGACACATATCATTTCTTTTCCTGTGTAATAGATGATTCCCATAAGTAAATGGCGAATTACTTCACCTTTCTCCCTAAGCAATAAACATGCCCAACATACGAACAACGCAGTAAAAGGAAGGCGAGTATCGAAGCCACCCCTTCCGGAACGACCGAAGCGACTAATCTTCCCCTCCGCGAACAATCCAGTGTGTGATTGAGTATTTAATGTTTCTGGGCGTATCAGCAGCTAGGATCATTAGTCCCGTAAGTTTAGTCCATGTTTTAATTACGGGAGGTGGCGGTGATCTTCCCTCGCAGGATAGGGAGATCCGGCGCCTACTTTCACGTCGACTTGCGGAGTTTTCCTCAACCAGATATCTCCCACCAGTAGGACAGCGCCCCAGACAGGACAAGCTATAAGCTCCCGACTGGTCTCCAGTTGTGTGTGGCAGTGAATTGCATGTACGGGTAAGTGTGTGGTAATAGAACAAGTAAGTTGAAGGAAAGATCGCGTGCGCGGTCCGTGGTCCCTTCGTGCAATACTGCTCCGACATTCACCCGGCGTAAAACGGAAACATGAAGGAAAACTACCAATCCGGGCCACTGGTCGCTAGAATTCTCCTCCAGACAGCAACTGAATTCCACCCAGCTACGTGGCTAGTGTTGAATAATACTGCCACCGTCGGGACTCGAACCATAGGACCTCCCGGTCAGAGGTACTGCAGGAACATCAGTTGATACTCTGAGCCGCGTAAGCCAGCCGTTTCGTTACGCGAAAACTTGAGGAAACTGCTCAGCCAGATGAAACGTGACCCTAGAGAGAGACTCGACCCTCGGCTATGATTGGGTCTAATCGCATTAGCAGAGGTAGCTAGCCTGCGAGCAGTTTCGTGAACTCCACGGGCAACGCATTTGGCCGTCCGTGCCCGTCACCCGCGCAGCCGAGGGAGACATCTTTCGCGGAAATCGAGAGTCGTGCGTAATACTGGGTACGTTGTTAATCCGACGAGAGGAAAGATATTTCTGTATTTAAATGGAAAGGAATAATTAGAAAAGTGTTGAGTTTATCGTGAAATTGTAATTAAAGTTGTTGTGAATTGTGTGTTGGAACTGTGAAAATTCCAAATTTAACTTCAAACATTTTAAAAAAATTATCTTTCATTAGGATAGCAATGCCCCTTATCCTAAATCACCAAGTGCAGAGACATTCCAATCGAAGAATAGGGGGAGCGTAGCCGTCGTGGTGGAAGCAGGGTTCGGCGCCTCCAAGGTTGCACGAGCCCAGCAGAGGAGCGCGCTCACTGACGGCCATTTTACGAAGAAACAACTCACTACAAGGTGTGTACATTGAATATATAAAATTCCATCCTGTTGCCTACGTCGCAGTACAAGTAAGGTAGTACGTGTAGATAATTGTAAGGTTGAAAATAGAAGTCCAGAGTTCTTACTAACTTTGACTCTTATCCCTTATCCAACCCCTCGTGAAAACAAACTTTCCTCTTAAAGAAAAGAAAATTGCTTCTTCTAAGCGAATTCTTTTAAGGCCCAGTTGATGCTTTTCTACAGTTCTAAGAATTTCGGCCTAGGGCCTCCGTCTCTCGTTATTCCCTGTCGTTCATATATCTCATGGAGTGCGTCAAGAGTCCACACAATATACGTGAACAGAAGGATGAGGGGAATGCCTAACATTATTTAAATTGGATAAAAGATAGATTTAAATTGGGAGTGAGGCATTACCCTGTAAAGTGTAATGTTTGCATTTGTGTTTAGTCAGACATGTTCTTTGCAAGTAAAGTAGGTCATTTAGAAATACCATTAAATTTACAATTTATGACAAATTAACTACAAATATTTAATAACACTAAACCATTAATTAAGAATGAAAGGTGTGTAATCATTCTGCAGTAATGTGAGTGTAACAATAAGTGCTAATTTTGGTAATTATTCTTACTTTAGTTTATTATTAGTATTATTATTATTCGCATTATTTGAATTTTGTTGTCCATCATTTTCAATAACATATTTTCCAGATAAGATTGTTGAATGTTTTACAGATTTTTTTCGAAAGATACTCTGAGTCATTTTCGTGTGATGTTAATAGTGATAAGTTTATGCTAATGACCAAATGTGTTATTAAGTAAAGAGGTATTTCTGAATCACTTTGCAGGAAAGTAAGGTTTCTTTCTTCATTAATTTTATTTATTTTTTATTTATTTACGTCAAAAACAGTTAAAAGCTGCGTGTGACGTGCTATGGGGTGAAGTTAAATTGAAGTTACATTTATGTCCAGAAGCAAAACAAGGGACTATCTCAGCATTTGCTCAAGGATCAGGGAAACTGGACGAAAATCTGATCGAGATGGGGGTCACTGGCTCAGAAGCTGAAGTACAATACTTGTTACAGGTTCTTTAGAATTCTACAATCCAAATGGTAAATAATTCACTAAATGTCGTTGTTAAAATTAATAATACTTTCCTTTTGGATGCGCGGTATAGTCTCTAATTGTATAGAAACAGTAGTGAACAGAAAATATTTTACTTGGGACGTAAACGTTTGTATCAAATTTAGTCGTTTAATGTCATCTGGCAAGGTGACATGTATGACAAATAATGTACATGAATTGTGAGTGAATTCGTTGTAGTGAGCTGTTACCTGATGAATATGATTACTACGTCGAGTGTTGTAGTTACAGATATCTGCGTTTGCTGAAAATATATTCCCGCCCTTAAGTTGGTCATTTTTAACAAAAACCACTGATTCATATATCAAGAGACAAGGTAATGGTAAGATACCTAATTAATAAAGAGAGCACAAAAAATCACGAGGAGTGGAATTTGCTTATTATTCGTAATAATTCTTTTTTTGTAATCTAAAAGTCTCGGAGCTATAAGAATTGTATTTCCCCAGAATATATGCCGTATCTCAGGCGAAATAAACCATTCACGCGAAATATACAAAACTGGGCAGTAGGGAGGCTGACTAAATTTGAAAGAACTTTTAAACAGCGTAGCATAAAAAACCTTAATTACTGCTTGCAATTCATTTCAAATGGACGTTTCATTTAAGGTTTGACTTGAATTGAAAGACCTAAAAATTTTGTTACCTTAACATCAGTCAATGGCATACCGTTCATTTCTAATGGCAGTACAGGAAGCTGGTTTATTTGAATCGCCGACAAACTAAATTCGAAAACCCGGTTCTTCTATTTACTATTAATTTGTTATTATGGAACCAATTTGAAAGATCTGATATTGTACTATTTACGGTTTCATTATTGCAAAGAATATACGTATCATCCGCAAAGAGAACTGTTCTTCCGTTTGTAATCTTCGAAGGCATATGCAATTGGCAAAAAATTGAAAAGATTTGTACATAATGTTCCATTATTCCAGTAAAGTATTTCTACTCTCTAAAATCGTTGTTTAAGTTTCGAACAGAACCAATCTAGAGCGATACAACGAATTCCATTCGAAGGTAATTTTGAGAGTAAAATGTTATAATCAATGAATTCAGAAGCTTTGAAATATCTAAAAACTTCCAATAGGTGCTTCGTTTTGACCCAAGGATGGATCCAAGGATTAAAGGAGACACCTTTAAGATAAGAAAATATGGCTGTTTCCGTAGATTGTGATTTTCGAAACCCATGTTGACAATCTGAAAACGCGTGTTAATTACTAAGAAAGGTTTTCATCCGTACGTAAAAGTTTCTCTAATATTTTTGAAAAACACCGACAAAAGAGAAATTGGCGGATAATTTTGAATTTCATTTTTGTTGCCTTTTTTGAAGTTGGCTTAATCTTAGCTGTTCTAAAAAATCTCGAAAATTTCTGTGCATAAAAATAATTAAATTGAGTAACGGTGAGTTAATGGCGGGCGCACACGTCTTTAACAAACAATCCGAAAATTCAACTGGCCGAATGATTATTTTTTTAGTCTACCGAGTATTTTGAGAATGCCATTGGAGGAAGTTTCGGAAACGAACATCGGGTCTAAAATGTTTGGGCAAAAGTCTGATTGAAGTTGAATTTTGTGGCTGAAGACTCTTAGTGGGATCGGAAGCAATTCTCGAAAAGTATTGGTTAAAGAGAGCCACTGTTGCCGGATAGTTCACATTTCTATCGTTATTGTTCAAAACAACGTTCTTTACAAGGTTTCTAGTTCATTTGGTCAAATTTTTTTCTATATTCCACTTTGCTTTTGTTTTATTATTTGAGTTCAAAATAGCCTGATCATGTTTCATGATTTTAGCCTGCCTTATGACTTTTCTTAACAATCACTAGTATTTTTTAAAGTGGAGGAGTATATCTTGAGATACGTTATGACGCTTAGAAATGAAAGAAAGAATTTGTTTGTTTTTACATGTACTAATCCCTTGTGTTGTCCAAGAATTGCTTATCCGTGAATTATTTAATTTTCTTTTTTGAAGAGTAAAGCAAGTGTTAACATGAAGTGAAAGCGTTGAAAACCAAGAATTATATTTATCGTTTGTATCAACAGTATTGTTGGAAGGAATGAATTAAGTAGAGAAACTGCAGTTGTAAAGCAGAGAACATCCACTTGTTTTAAATCGCTCTGTAGAGCTGCTTCAATAAACTGTTTTGTTTGAAAGGGATTGAACATTATGGTGCAGAGTATCTTTTGCAAGTACCTATTAGGTTGTTTTTCTACTGCATCTGACTGTAGTTGATATATATATTTACTCCATTTTTATCTCGAGTGTGTGATTGAAGATTGTAATTTGTCTCAGCAGTGACAAGTTGTGGTAGTGGTATTGGTAGTAAGAATGGGAGAAACGGGAGTAGAATCAGAGGAGGAGGAGGAGGAGGAGGAGGAGGTACAGGGGTTTGAAATAAGGATGGAGGGTGGAGAACGTAAGGAAGGTGAAAGAGATGGATTTTTGGCAGGAGACTGCGTAGGACTGGAGTTGATGATGTGTTGTGCAAACTTATTGCTGATTGCTTGTTTTCCAGCGAGGTTCATTTCGAAGATTGTTTTGTTCTTTCTTTTTTAATTGGGTGTTCCAGGATCCAACAATCCTGCACCAACTAAAATTAAGGTAGAAAGCGCCTTTCTCAATCAAAGTGATGGCGGCTTAAACCGGGAGTGGAAGGAAAATAAGTTTACAAAACTGTAACTACAGTCGGCGAAAAAGTCATTGCCTATGGTATTTCTATTGTATTACAGGAGCATTATGGGAATTTGAATTCTCATGAATTAAAGGATACCGGAGACCCAATACGAACATGCTTAGAATTTTATGATTAAATGTCTGTTAAGATAACATTGTTCACCACAATCCATTTTCAGTGACAACAAATTTTCTTGTCGAATACGTAAAATATTTATAAGACATTGTGGTTATTTACGGCTAATACTATGATAGTTATGAAAGAGCGAAGATGCCTCATCCCTATTCATTTACAGATTATTCGAGACTACCTATACGTTCTGCCTAACTGGCTATACCGGCTGCTATTTGTTGGCACCTAAAGTTTACAGTTTGTGGCTCCACTGCGGTACTACAGCTCATGTGGATCAATGTACCCAGCATGAGCACACATACTACACCAAAACCTCAGGGCAGAGTAGCCCTTGTGTCCACGGTCTAGAACGGAAGTCGTAGAAGAAACTCCTGGGTCCATCTGGGTGCTTATACCTTTTTTCGCAGTTAGTAAGTCTCTCGCATAAACGCCGTCTCACCGTAGTCCATTGACCACTTATTTCAGTAAGCCCTGTATACGTTATCAGGTACATCCTAGGGTTAAGGAAAAAAGGTTTCGAGGGGATAAAGGAGGAACTGTGTGGCCCCAATGAAACAGATACAACACAAATGTCCATACCTTATGTGGGATATGAACCCCACAGCCCTGGTATACGCTTATTTGAGCACTTGTTAATACACAAACAAACATGCGCACGGTTAGACTCGAACCCACATCCCTTCCAGGCAATCTGTGCGTTCACACCATAACGACCTCGGAAGCCCGGGGTCGGTTGATATTGCGTACACTATTATTCACAATTTGTTTGGAAGAGCTTTAACCCCAAGCCCTCCTCGTCACTACTAGCCAGCAGAAAATGTGCATGGCTATTTTGCAAGATATTTAAGGGAGCTTTTAAACTTTCTAAAAATTGGAATTGAAATACGGCATACAATTAACTTTAATTTATAAGCGATTTGGAAATAAAACATGATCTTTTTAAGAATCTTTCTACTAGTACCAATTTTTATATTCGAAGTAGTTTGAATGTAGTTTCTGAAACAACCTATAAAATACTGTGCGTATTTTAAAATTACACTAGTATATTATGATCCCACGAGTTTTGTAGTATGTTCTTGAACAAACGTAAAATAGCGAATCCGAACTCTTTCAGATTTCACATGATCTGAAACACGAAATGGGTGCGGAGAGTAACAATGAGACATACAGACGAGAGAATAGATTCTGACTGCTAGAGAGAACAAATTTAGACTTCAGACTAGACAGATTTAGATTACAGAAAGCATAATTCTAGGTGATATGGATTCAAGTCGACATTAACTCAAATCCACTGAGAGAACCATTGCAATCACGAGTAATAAGGTTACATGTAACAACACATGTAGCACATAGGCTCCGTGTGACGGCTGGGAGCCTGGAAGCGGCACTCGGGATACGTGTAAATCTAAAACACGTTATCGAGCTTGGCCATAGATATTCAATTCATCATTCATGCCTGGCCTCTGCTGGCTGCTCTGAACTTCGAGGATGGCATTTCCGCACGGCCAATTTGCACTTATCGGTTACTGCGGAAAATCATTCCAAGAGGCTGTCTGCAACGCGCCATCGACGTGGGCCGCAGTCTGCTTCGTAAGTCGCGTCTCGGTGTAATTGCCGAAGAGTCATGTCAACGGCAAGGAAATGTGCCGACTCAACTGCCTAAGCCTCTGTCAATTAATAATGTACTCTAGAATTAGGATGGCAGTCGGCCATAATTGGCCACTAATGAATACACCTAGAATGACAAATGTATGTAAATGCATGTATTTCGTAATAGTCTCTTTTCATTGTTTTGTGAATAATCACGCATCGACACTTTGGCCATGCGATTGCATTATCATGTGTGTAATTAATTACCTAGAGTTAGCATAATACCCTGACCCAGAACCTCACAGTCTTCCTGAGATCTCTTGAGCCGGCATTATTTTGGGCGAGGCCAACCGCATACTTTGCGCCCAACCGACCCTCTATGTACTTGGACTTTGTCCCATCTTACAAAATATTATGTATGGCACGGGTCAGTACATAAAATTGACGGCTCAACGTGGCTGAACGTACGGCCAATTCCACAAAATTGTTGCATCAACATGTTTCTTTATATAATATATTATTTAAGGTCTCATCAACTACTAGGTAATTAGCGACCACTATTGCGTGTAACGGTATGGTAACTATGAGGATAACGCGATATGATGGTGACAGGGGTGTGAAAGGACGCACACAATACAACCACGCCCGAGGCGGGACTCATACCCGCGACCCTTCGGTCCGAGATCGTTAAGGCACTACTGCCTTAGCGATCTCGGCCATCCGGACTGGCAAAAATATATTTTGTATTCGCATTAAAATATAATGGGATGAAATAATTCTGGTTAAGATCAACTTGGCCTTGAATGTATAAAGTTGTGCGTCTTCCTCATAATGTTGACTCCAAATGCTGCATTGGCATTCATTAATTATTAAAGAATTGATTCACAGGTAATCGTGTAGACGTTTAGGCAATCTTTAAACTCTTTATTACTATCATCTTCAGTACATACGCTTTCGGGATCATACACGAGATGAATGATTTGATGGATAAGTGATGGGTGATGATTATAGTAATATGATTTAAATAATGGAGAAATAAGAGGCACAAGAAATCGGAGAAACCCGAAGAAAAAAAGAAAGAAAGAAATAAACTGCCTCGAACCCTCAAAAAAACCTCCTCAAACACTCTGTCCACCACATTGATATCTCGAATGAGTCGACTGGGATTTGAAGCTGGTGTCAGGAGGTGAAAGGTGAGTGATGGTCTGACCACTATATCACGGGCTGCCCAGTCATGAGGTTACATTAGCTGTTTCACTCTTGTCACCGCTCTACTACGTCGCGTTATAAACGAGGTCTTACACGGTATTTTTATCACGAGTAGACGGGGTATTGATCCAAGTCTGATCCTGCGTAACTCACGACTACAGACGGCAGATTGCAACACAAGAGGGGGTGAACGAGTTAATTAGGTAAAGGAAGACTGTCACTCCAAATCAAAGGGTGGTTGGGGATTTCGTGGCATTTAACTCGCGTTATTTGGGTGAGGATTTTATGAACTAAAATGAGAAAATATAGCATTGCTTATATTTGTTCGAGTAAATTTATAAAAATTCTATAAACACACAATAATGTTTTCACATATCAAATCTATGAAATTATCTGTAACAAATCGCCAAACCAACATTTTTTATGACAATCGCTCCCGCAATTTATTGAAAAAATTAACTCATTAGTTGCATCACATCCAAAGAATATTTCCATTATAAATACTGTTTTAAAATTCCAAGCAAAGTACACAAAATGTATATAACAAATAAACTATGTCGACAATATTAGGGGAACTAAATTGATATTATCCCCTCTAAAATAGTTCCTTGATCCGCCTCTATATTTAACTGAATGTTTGATAATTTTAATGACCCACACAGTTGTACTGTACATTCCAAACATGAACAATTTCATATTTAGCCATCTCGATTGATGAACACGTGCATGTTGAATAAAAAACCCTCTTGCTGTCGCGCAGTAAATTTTTATTTCACTGATTTCAATGAATTAAGAGTTTTCATTTTTTTAAAATAAATGCCAACTGCATATATGTGCCTGCACGATATTACGAAAACATCTTTTAATATTCATCATTAGTGTAATCGAATATTTTTTACTTCATGCCTTGCGAGAAAAGACGCACACTGTAGCAACTGCCGCCCAGGGGAAGATCTGCAGAGTTTTTCAGGGGGATGGAGCAATTCCAGTATTGCCTTCAATAATATTTTTCGAAATAGTAAAGCAATTTTGTTAGTTTGACATTTTAAAAAAAGTGAATGGGTAATGAAAATACTCCTTCGGAGCGACCTCATTGCTCCCCTCCTGAATCCGCTCACGCTGTCGCCTTCGGAGGCAAAGGCCCGCCCTTGTAGAGACAAAACGCCAGACGCTCTGGCCGCGACCTTTTCTCTGTTGTGACATCTGTCACGCGAAATGTTTGGGCACGTTGCCATTACAAAGTTTCATTTAGAACTCGGTAAAGTACTACAACAAAGGGGCCACTTACTAGAATGCAAGTCGCATTCTCTTGTTGAACAAATGAGAAGACATGAGGGAGAAGTGAATACTCATTTATAGTATTTCGTGTAGTGCGAACGTTCACTGAATAAATGAATGAGGGGAATCTAAATCAATCTACCAGACCGTTTCACAAACTGTCCGGTTTCGATTAATAAAGTATCTATGTTTTTATTAATGATAATAGAAAGATTTAATTTAGGTTTCGGTTCCGATTTCGGTTAACCAAAAGGCGTGACTAGGGTTTGTCAGTTTCAACAGAAATTCTTGGTCATAATTTTGAGAGTCCCTTTTCTATCTGAAGAATTTGATAAAACAAAAGATAAGACTTTATCTTTTAGAGGTTCATGAAAACGCATTTGATCTCAGATGTAATTAAATTTGATTACACTGAGACGCTTTACAGATAACAGAGTAAGTTACACGAAGCTATGAATATATTTAAAAAAGCATTAATAATCGAAACAATTATTTTATTAAATATTTTGCTGGAACCAAAACCGAATGAAACTGTGTGCGCCTCTTGTGAAGCGTTTATTAATGGTTTTTATTTGGGTTATGGTTTCGGATTAATTAATTTAATGCGGATAAAATTTGCATACTTTGATTAACGTTACGATAAATAATAAACATGATCAAAAATACGAGCTACGATCGTATGATGCTGAAAACAATAGTCATTTTAGAAAGAAACCATTCTTGTCCTTTGTGTTTAAGTATGTCTCCTTTAATAAGATATATCAAAACAGTATATCAAGATTTACTGTAAATGTTTCAAGGCAACACAACAGAAACGGATATTATATTTTATCCGTATTTCGTTCTTTCGGTACTTGACAGTTCTATGCCAGTCTGTCAACTGCTTTAAACGCACGCCTTTAACCTTGACCGACAGAGAAACAGGTGGCATTGCATCGGTACATAACCTCATTCTTTTGACCGGCTTGCGTAATTACCATAAGCAAAATAACAACTGCGTGAGAAAAAAAACATCACGATACGCAAAACTCCACACGTTTACGAAACATTTTTAAACGCTGTGTTTACATCTTACTTTGAATTATTTCAAACTAAACAAAAATTCAAACTTTAGAACTTAAAAACTTAAGATAAGTACCTAAATTGAAAATGCTTGTGCTCTGGATGTAACAATAATAAAGTAAAACGAATGATCACAAGTAACAGAATTAACATTTCCTGAGCATTACGCATTATTCTTCTGGGATATTTGTGAAAAAACGCGTTCTAAATTTCAAGGTCATTAGGGTTGACATCATTCACTTTAACACTGGAAACAGAACGTGCCAACAACAAATCGCACTCGAATGTGGCACCTAGGGAGCTGTGAGATACTGCATCTTCCTGCTAAACAAAATTTCAACTGTCAAACTTCAGAAGGAACAGAATGTTATATTAAATGAAATATAGCTGAGTCGCGTTTAAAAACTTACAAAAAATTAAACAAAATAATATTTTGAATTATTTGTAACACTAGCCTACTGAAACAATTGACCAAAAATGATGGAATTACAGTGGACATTGAATTGTCTTAAGTTGTATCTTGTCCTAATTTTCTTAAGTTGTATCGTGTAAACTAACAACGTTGTCACTGGCTTAATGTCAAAAAACAGAGCAGTTTTTTAATGTTGGAGTCAGTACTACCTAGGAGCGCTGCGAGGTGCTGTCTCTTTCTGTTGTCTCCCGGAGGCGGCGGCGGTGGCGGGTGTCGCAGGTCATTTCGCACGAAAGATTCCAACTCGAAGGGCTTCTCGTCCATTGCGGCGACGGGGTGCCTGCCAGCCCTCGGAAGTCGCGGCAACCCACATGCACCCGCTGCTGGGTCAGTTCGCCACCAGCTGGGCCGAAGGGCGGATCGATCTCCAGGCGCCCGATGTGGCGGCATGCGCAGCACATGGGTGGCGGGCGAACCGGCGAGCCAGGCAGGCAACTTCGCAACACGAAAATCCCAGCGACCGTTATACGCACTGTTCACCTGCGAATGTGTTTCCACTGGGACAGTTTAGCTTGAAACTGATCGCTGCAGGGAATCGTATCTGGGCAGGTTTCGCTGGACTCTTCACGATCGTTATCCTACACGCCTATTGCACTCTGACCGCACACGTAAAGCAGAAGCCGAGCGAATCGCCTATTAGCGGCTCTGAAACTATTTTTTGAATGCCGTTGTTAATTAAATCAGTAGGTGAGATTTCGTCACTCATGACAACAAGTTGCAGTTACTCGAAGAACTCTGATTGTTGTGTGAATTGCTGGAGATGTGGATGATGACGTAGATAATCTTAGATGAACTCTGGCTGATGTTAAACGGATGATGAAGGCACAGGTCGATGAGGTCGTGTTTGCACAGGTTTCACTTATTCCCAATCACCAATAAATGTACTCGTTCCGTACGTGTGAAAGATATCGTCATAATGAAGATACCTGCCAGTTTGATGTTCAGAAGAAATTTTTTTAACCCCGTTGTCAATCCAAATAATCAAATTTTTGAAAATCCGCCTCTCGTAACAACATAGCAATTGCATTCGCTTGAAGTATTTTGATTACTAAGAGAATTGTCCCTATCTACTTGATGACGTATCTCGCTTAAGAAGTTCGACAGTTGATGAAGGTCAGGAAGAGCAAGTGCTTGTTTCTCTCAGGAAATTTCATAAAAACTGCTTGCCGGGATTAATCTGAAGTCGTTAGAGTAATAAAATCCACATTAGTTTACTCAGTTTTAGTTACCAAAGAACACCATGGTATGAACAACATTGTATTCTCTATTTCAGAATGTTTGTAGAAAAGTCGGAAACTTGAGTCATAAACATCACCAAGATTATGAAGACAAATGTTAAAATATGTCATGCAAAAGTGCACTAACAACTGTCTTCCTTCACGTATAACATTGGAAAATTCTGTCGAATTGGTAACGGAGATAAAGTGTAATACTCGAGAATGACTCAATTCCATTTCATTCATATTATCTAAATGATAGGTGTTCGAAGATCGAGTGATAAGATAATGCAATACTATAACAAGATAATTCACTTGCCATTTACAGACTACGGACTTCCATTTTTGAATTTTTTGGGCTTTATTTGTTTGGGGTGCAACCACATATAATACATAGTGATGTAATTGTAATAATGTTTCTAAACCAAATGATAGTTTTTCATGAAATACATGATCTTTCCCACTTAAATTTCATTATTTCTTTCAGAATCTGTGAATAGAAATGTTCTTTGTGGAGGTTTCTTTTCTTCGTAGTCACTTCGTAAAGTCAGTATTACTGTCACTTCTGAAATTTTTTATTTAATACCTCGTGTATGATAAGGATGACAAGTCAACGCGAATTCATGGGCCATTTGAGAAGGTGATACTTTAGAATTCACCTGGTGTTGATCGGAGAAACCACGGAGAACTATCTCTCAGAACAGCTAATTTTTTTCCTGGAGACAGAGGTGGAATTCGCCGTCACCATGCAGCTAGTGTGGAAAATCTACCGCCGACGGAACTCGACCCCCAGGGCCTCCTGGCGAACGACGCCACACAGGCGACCGCGATGTTGTAGGGGCATTATACACTTTCGACATTCCTTGGAAACTCGCATAAGACTGTACCAGTCGCGGAAGAACTATCCACCGACTGGTAGGTGCGATGTACGCGTTTGAAATCAATCACACAGTGGGCAAAGACAAGGATAACTGCCAGAGTTACCTCATAAACTAGGTGGTAATGGTAAGTTTTCGTCTATAGAAGGGCTCTGAACTATCAGTTGTAGAAGTACGAAACTTGTACGATTGTGAAGGAATGAATAGATTTATTGTATCAAACTGTTTGAGCAAACTTCATTAATTAATTTAATTCACTTATCCGTAGGGGTAAATAATTATGGCACTAATAGAACGCCATTTAGAGCCATACTTAATAGGAATAAGGAACTGCACAACTTCATGGATTAGGCAGCTTTGGTAATGAGCCACTCACCATTCCAGATCCAGCAACAGGGATCTTTTCATAATACGACGGCTGTTCCAGAAAATAGCAACGCCGTTGCGGAACTGGGCGGAAGAGCGGAGACAGAAGTTAGACGGAACTTCGAACTTGGTGAAATAAAAAAATGAAGGTTTTCGTTATTATGATACCAGTGCCTCAGCCTTAGGTTCATTTCTGGAAGCGGGTAAAAGTTTTGGATGTGTTGGTGATTTTCAATATGATGTGAATATGGCGCAGTGGTGAAATGATAGGCAGGGCAAGCGAGAGCACCCCCCCCCACACACACACAAACCACCGTAAACCCGTGCGGTTTAACACTCACTCCACATGGACTGAAGGGGATTTGAACCCAGGTGCTACAGGTGGAAGGCTAGCCGTCTGACCGGTACAGCATGTGTCGTCCATTTGTTGAATCTATAAAACAATGTAATATTCTGGGAAAGTTTTTCTTGTTGTCAATCCTTTGTCAATGTTTAAACGTAAGAGTTAAATAAGTGACAAAACTAGATGATGGAAATTATTATGTAGGAATACAACGCATCGCACATGATCGTAGTACGTAGATTTTATATTCCATTCCACATTCCTTACAAATAATTATATTACTTATACTTATAACGTAACAATTAGAGGTATGATAAAGATTTTCGAGCACATTTGAATTGATACTGATTTTGAATAATTAGAAGACTTCCAAAACGCACTATATCGCACAGTTCAAACTCTTCTGAAATATTAATATGAAATGACGGAATATGTGAATCTGGCGGATATAAAATAGCGGTACAAGCGCTCCTCTCCGTGTTTAGAGGTTTGGGATATGGGAATTATGAGAGTTGTGATGGACGAAATGACGATGATTATGATGATAATGATAATGGAGATGTTTAATGCAAGTCAGGAGAAACTCGAGAAATCTGCCGCAAACCTGCGTGGTCCAACACACATCTACAAGGACTGACTGGGATTTGAACCCAGGTGCTACTGGTGGAAGGCGAACAGATCTACACCACGGATCCCCCTAACCAAAGGTATAGCACTATCATTTTATTGCCGACGCAAGTACATTCGCTATAAGAAGTTATCGGTGCGTATGTCCAAAATGCTCCCCGCACGTATAGCAACTTAACAGGGTACGCATCGCAATACTCCGTCGCACACGACTCAATTTTCGACGATAAGGACGGCCACAAGGTCAAGCGGTGGTGAGTCCCCCGTCAAGTTGCGTGATAAGCTTCGAAAAGGTAGTGCTTTATTACCACGAAAACACCACCGGTGTAATGCGTGCACTTCTTTTTCAATTCTCATTCAGCTAGTAGAAGCGAAAGGTGTGTGTATGTGCGAGTGTATTTAGAGGGGATTATTTCAATGAAAAAATTGTCTAATCAAATCTGTAGTCGTTTGTCAACTGAAATGAGGATATATGGATTAAACGCCTTTTCTTCTTCTTCGCCTGCATAATTTTAATAATGATAATTAATAATTTTCGAGGCGCTTCGCTAACAAATGCTTTAGAACAGTAGCGCGGGAAGGGGGGGCAGTTGGGGCAACTTGTCCCAGGCCGGTTTCATTGAGATCCCATATTCTTCTATCTAAAATCATAAAAATGTACTTACTTTTTATTCAAATTTGCCGTTATAAGTAATTTCTGTCGTATGGAGACTGTTGTTCATCGTTATGTATCGGGAAGAGGGGGAACTTTTGTTGCTCCGGGGGTGTGATCTCTCTCTGGGTGTCCCTGCGCGATATCCAGCCGATTGTTACGAACACCAGTAGCGGCAAACACGAAGGCAACGAGCACAAGTGAGCGGTGATTGAGGGAGCATGGTTTCCATCCCGCCAAGGCACCAGGCAGTGCTTTAGCATCGGTTAGTTTACGGCGCCTGCGGAATTCGAATTCGTAGGTCGACTGCTCCGATAAGTGTCTTTCTTGGTTTCCCTCATCATTCGTAGGAGAATGGCAGACCGGCTTACATGACTCGGGCGTCAATTGATGTCACTGTAATGTCTTTGACCGAGAGATCGGTGGCAGGATTTTCAACACTAGCTAGATAGCTAGGTCGAGTTCAGCCGCTCTCTGGAAGAGGATTGTAGGAGCCAGTTGTTTTGATCGGTATGTTTTCGAGGTTTCCCCGATCAACATTAGGCGAATGCTGGAATGGGCCATGAACTGTGCGTGTTCTTTCCTCGCCCTGGCTCTTCTTTGTCCTAACATCACCCCTTATTTATACATACGTACACCTACGTGCACTACACTACTACACATGTCGGGAGACCAGTCGAGAGATTAGTTTGATATGGCTGGGGCTGTGCCCCGCTGGTGGGAGATACCTTGTCGAGGGAATTCCCGCAAGCTGACGTGTAGGTCGGCGCCAGATCTCGCCATCCACCTATGGAAGATCACCGCCTCCTCGCGCTATGAAAGGGCACTACGCTCATGGAACCAATTACCATAGCAGCTGGAACGCCCGGAAACATCAATGAACCGAGCAAACGAATGGCAGAGCAGCGCCCTATCGCACCCATGTGCAAGTTAAAGACCGCGCGCGGTCTTCCCATCCTCATCTCCGTGAATCAGGATTGCGACGTGACGTCATGGGGAGAATATCCATACGACCCGTACCTTACCTTCACAACATGCACTGACGCTTTCATAAAAGGTCTGAATATGCTTGATAACGGTTACAAAACATGTGCTATGTATCCATGCTTTGGATTATAAGAGCTTCAGCCCTTTTCAGAGAAGCATTTTCTTTACTGTAATGATCTCAAATGGATGGTAGAATCGCCGGTGGGTGGACTTTTTCTGAGGCTTGTGTGATCATGTGATCACTTTCTCAGTCATTTCTTTGGATTTTCGTGACGTCGGTAGCTTTGATTTCACCCAAAGGACCGTCTTAGTGCAAGGAGAAACCTCTATAAACTGTAAGTTTGTTTATTGCAGTTTGTATCTTAGTTTGCACAATAAAGTATATTGAAATGTAATTTTAATTAACAATTTTACAAATACAATCA